TGTAGACTGCAGGAAGGGGTGGGAGGGGGCTTCCGGGGAGGGAGAGCAAGAAGCCACCAAGAAGCAAGCCCTCCTTGCAAATCAGCACCATGTGTGGGCTGCTGTAGGGAGAGCCAGATGCCAGCCCACTCCAGTGCTCGGGCTGCGCAACCAGAAGAGCCAGTCCCTCCCCCACACCCTGCCATGAGCCACTGGCTGATCTAGAGAAACACAGGCTGCAATCATAGCTATTGAGGTAAAATATAATTTAATGCTTGTAGTGTTTAGTTTGCCACTGACTTTGCAGTTCTAAAGCCAGTAGTCTGATCATCTGTTCACCTATGCACCAATAGAGCATCTATAGGGAATCTCCTCCTAAAGGTAGTAGCCATTCTTAATTCTCTATTATCTTGTTTTGAAGTCCTTTATTGAATTCATTGTTTTGTTTTTATTGGTTCTATTCTGTTGTTTTATTTGATTTTTACTATGTCTGAAGATATCTGCAGCTATTCTGAAGACAACAAGAGGCATGATGATAACAATTACTGATTTCCTATTTCTTTTATTTTTGGTACCAGGGATCAAACTCATAACCTCGCGCTTGCCAGGCAGGTGCTTAGACCACTGAGCTAAATCCTGCCCCTGTTGATTTCCTATTGTCCTGAGGTCCTGTGTCACTTTACACTGATTTGCTTTGATTGGCTTTACTCTGTTTTATTTTTGCTTGCTTTTATTCTCTTTAAAATAAAATTTTTAGGGGTTGGGGATTTAGCTCAGCGGCATAAGCGCCTGCCTTGTAAGCAGGCAGTCGTGAGTTCGATCCTCGGTACCGATAAAAAAGAAAAAGACAAAAAATAAAATAAATTTTTAAATCTTTCATTAGAGACACAATAAAGTATATAAAACATCATGCCATAAACTAGAAGTAGATGAAAATATGCCTTCAATACATATAACAAGTCAACATGATAATGACAGACAAGACAGAAAAGAAGCAAAGACATAGTGCTTCCTTGTTGTTGAAAATTGAACCCAGAGAGCATTGAGCTAAAGTCCTAGCCCTTTTTGTTTTTTAAGACAAAGTCTTGCTGTGTAGCCCAGGCTGGTCTCAATTTTGCGATCCTCCTGCAACAGCTTCCCAAGTAGCTGAGATTACAGGCAGTGGCCACTGTACCTGATGATGACAGGCATTTCAGTGAAGAAGAAATACACAGATGTTCTCAACCTCAGGTTCCGCTTAGGATTTTTTGATTTTCCAGTTGTTCAGGAATAACACATATTCAGTAGAATCCATACATGAAATTTTGAATTTGGATCTTTCCCTAGCTTAGTGATATGTGGCACAACACTCTTCCAGAGGCCAGGCAGTACTAGTCAGCCTCAGCCACATGATTGCAAAGGAAAACATTTGTTCCTCTATGGTGTGCTGTATTCAGTAGGTGAGGTTTACTGAAATTAGTCTTGAGTTACCATATTTTCAGTTTACAATGAGTTTACAGTCATCCATCCCCATCATAAACCCGGGAGCATCCAATAAAGACAACTTTTTCTTTCTTTCTTTCTTTCTTTTTTTTTTTTTTTTTCATTTTTATCGGTACCAGGGATCAAACTCATGACCGCCTGCTTGCAAGGCAGGTGCTTATGCCACTGAGCTAAATCCCCAGCCCCAATAAAGACAACTTTATGAACCAAACCCCCCACTTATATGCTGAAGCCCTAGTCCCAATGTGACTGCGTCTGGGGCTGGTGCCTTTAAGGAATAATTCAGGTTAAATCAGAAGGACAGAGCCCAATCCAGTGGGGCTGGTGCTTTCATAAAGATAGGAAGGACACAGTAACACAAGGAAAGGCTATGTGAGGACACTGTGAGAAGGTGGCCAGCAGCAATGAGAGATATTTGCTTCTACCCACAAAGGATTTGTTACTGTAGGAATTATCCTCTCCTTGGAAGCAATTGGAAAACCAAATCAACTATATGAAACAACTATTTTCAGACTTTGGCCGATGGGCAGGGCAAGCCAATAGCTTCTAAGACAGAAGCAAGGGTGGCCCCAGATCTAGTATTCTTCTGCCTGTCACTCACTGTCACTGCCTGTGTTTCGCCTGGTAGGTGTTTTCATGTCAGTGGCTCCTCAGTGCCACCAGGCTAAACCCAAAGTCCTCCAGTGTATAGCAGCCTTCTGGACCTAGCCTCTGTTAACTACCCACATCGAAGCCCTCATCACCCTCTTTCAACTGCCAGGCCTTACGTGTGCTCTAACTGTACCCTGGAAGCTTGCAGGTATCTTCCCTTCCCTTCTACATGTCTGTCTGTCTATCTTTCTGTTCCTCTCTCTTTCTGCCCCAACCCATGCTGGGGATTGAACCCAGGGGACACAACCACTGAATTATATCCCAACCCATTTTTACTTTCCATTTTGAGACAAGGTCTTGCTAAATTGCCCATCCAGGCTTGAATGTGTGATCTTCCTGCCTAAGCTGGAATTACAATCATGCACCACTGCCCCAGGTGAATGTTCACTTTATGCAGGCCTCAGTACCCACTCTAAGTGGGACTCCCTGTCCTTAGAGAACACAGGATATGCTTGGAGAGTCCAACACCAAATGCAGACCCCCATAGCCCCTGGGAGCCTAAGGTGCAGGAGGGAGGGATTATTAAACTGCTCCCCCCTTCTGATTCTGCCTTTATCTGAAATGAAGTCGGAGTCCAACAGTAGAGGTTCCAGCTCTCACAGGGTGGGGCGCTGTGCAAGAGTGACCTCTCTTAGGGGAACAGCTATTCCCAAGTTTTTCCTCAGTTGGAAACGTGGCCTATAAAATGGTTTGCAGTGATTCACAGCGAGGACTTAGGGCTGACAATCTCTGTCTCTGAGTCCCTGCCTGATGAGAAACTGCTGCTTGGGATCATTTCCCCGTGAATGGAACATACTGAGCTTGGCTACCATGCGTGGGCATGAGGGGTCACACCACAGACACAGGACTTCTGCGTGCCAATCAATGTAAACTCAGAAACTGTAAAAGTAAAGATCTTTCTTTGTGGTCTTAGGCATTGCAGCTCAGGAGACACAAGTTCAGACAGTCTGAAGCAGTGTTCTGACAAAGGCAGGGAAGATGCGAGCTTAGAAGAGCAAACCTGTGATAAGGCAGTAAAAATTCTTTGGAAGTGGGGCTGGGGATTTAGCTCAGCGGCATAAGCATCTGTCTTGCAAGTGTGAAGTCATGAGTGAGTTCATTCCCTGGTACCCCCCCCCAAATTCTCTGGAAGGGAAAACTGTCAGAGTTGAGAACAGGGGCTGTAAAACAGGAGCTATGTGACTGATAGAAGACCAGAGCATGCACATACTTCATAACGATGTCCATAAAAAAAGTTCAATAACCTCTTGAATGCATTTTGAGTCCCTGGGCACATTTTAAGGATCTGTTCCTGCAATCAAAGAGTTGACCGTGGCCTGATTCCCTGGCAGTAGCTTGAACCATGCAGACATTTTGCTTCCCTCCTGGCCTCCAGACTCTACTTAGAAAACCTCTCTCAGCGTTGCTTTCATTGTAATTTTCTTTTTTCCCCCATAGATATCATTCCTCCCTCGGGTCTAACAGTCTATATTTCTCTTAAGTGTTACATTTCTGCAGAATAAGGGCCAGAGACCTTCTGGTGTCTCAACCCTCCTGGTAATCAGATGTGATGTTCTTAATGGAAAGTAAAGCAATGTTTCTAACAGGACCCCATGTTTCCCAGACCATACAATCCTTGTGACCAATGACATCCCCAGTTCTAGGAACATTCTCCTATTTCTTGACCACAGATTACTGAAGAGACACAACTGCTGTACACTGATTCAGCTTTGGCACCCACTTCACAGCTGATCCCACTTTCTTTAGTCTCCCAGACTAAAGAAGAAGCACAAGTCCTAAGCAAATCCCCTTCTCTTGCCTTTACTGAGACACACCTCCATCCTGCAATCTCCCCTGTAATTGGCCATGCATGCATTCCTGGTGGTCCTTTTCTGGTAGGCTTTATCAGAATGACTGAAGTATTTCTTCCTCATGAGGTCAATTTGTAAACAGATGATACAGTCACGCAACACACATTGATGCCTTTATCAATGCCAGACTACATACACAGTGTTGGTATCATAAGATTAGACCAATATCACTTAGTAATATCTTAGCTGTCTTAGTTTGACATTTGCAACGAAACTACTTAACGATACATTTTTCAGAACAAATACCCATCAAGTGAGGCAAGACTGTACTAATTTCCCTATGCTCACTACCTGCAAGTATTGTAGCATGCACAGATCATTCTTGATGGCAAATACAGACAGATACGCAGGTTTAGGATACTTGGAGACAAGTGGGGAACTTGGAAAGGATGGCAGAAACAAGGAGAAATACCAAACTCGTGCTTAGAAAAAAAATGAAATTGAAGAAGATGAGTTTGGAACTGAAGAACACAGAACTAACTTTATAATTGTCAAAAATAACTTGAAACAATCGTAAATATTTAAAGTGGTAAACAGAGGTACTTATATTAGTTTCTGTATTTTATAAAATCCCCCCCCCCAATTAGTACGTAGAGGGTTTTCTATTTGTTTTTGTTTTTCCATTACTTGGGGACAAACCCATGGGTTTCACGTTGGGCCTTTTTTTTTTTTTTTTTTTCAGGTAAGTCGCTAAGTAGCTGAGCCTGGGCTACAGCCTTTGAGAATGCTGGGTTCAGAGACGTGTGTCCCTGCGCTCGGATTTCTTTGTGTTCTTAGGCACAGCAGTATTGGATTATTGTAGCTTTAAGAAAATTAAATGATATATCAAACACTTCTGGAGTACCTGTTTCTTGCTTGGCACCCTTTGACCAAACCTCACAAATCAAAACTGCCTAGTCTGTATTCTCCCGCCTTTGCTCTAGACTCCGCCCAAAATCCCCGCTTCAGGCCCTGGCTCCGCCCACAAACGACATAAACTTCCTGACTGCGCTAATTAGTGTGGCCAATCAGAAGACGTAGAGCCTGGGTCCCCCGCGGAGCCCGCCTCGTGACGTCACGCCCGGCGACGGCGATGGGGCTGGGTGGCTGTGTGGCGCTACGAGTGGGGTCGCTGCTGTGGCGCGGGGCTGTCTCCCGGGGAGCTTGGCCTGCAGCAGCTGCGACACCCCGGCTTCAGCTGCTGGCGTTGGGACGGCTTCCCGCGGCACCGGCGCTCTTCCGGACCTGCCTGACTTCGCAGATTGTGCGCGGCGGGCCTCAACGGGAGGAGCGGACGGACGGCGAGGGCCGCCCGGAGCCAGGCGCTGCAGGTACTGGCGTGGGGGAGTGAAGGCAGTTTGCGCAGCTGCGAGCCGAGAGCTTTGCGGAAGGCTCTGATTGCGCTGTGTTTCCGTTACGACTAGCAAAACTACAGACCCAGAGCTGGAACGAACCCAAGAGATTGACCCCGCCAGCCCTCCCTTTTCAGTGGAGAAACTAGTGCTCACAAACCCAGCCAACACATTGGCCGCACCGTGCCCCCCAGCATCCTCCCTTCCCGGTCTACCTGGGAACCTGGGAAATGGAATTGCTGGAGTGTTGGGCCGTGAGGATTCCGAGAGAGAGCTAGGGACTGTTGCAAGGGGACGTGCAAGAAACGCTACTAGGACATGGGTCCTACTTTAGATCCTCTAGTTGCTGCAAACGTTTTTAGAGACATGAAAAATGGTGAACAAATCATAACAGAAATTACCGAATTTGAAAGGGAGAGGTTTTCTTAGGCTTTGCTACTAGGTGCTTTGGAGTCAGGTTTAGAATTCAGGAGAGCTATAAATTTACAGACGCTAATATTTCAAACTAAAGAATAGTATGACTAAGTCTTTGGAGAAAAGTTACATTTTCATTAAAAAATTGTTAATAACCAAGTTATTCTTACAAACCAAATTGCTTTATAAGAAAAATCTGAGAGACATGGAGGTGCGTGCCTACAATCCCAGCACTCAGGAAGCTGAGGCAGGAAGATCCCAAGTTATAGACCAGTGTGGAAAATTTAGCAGGATCTTGTCTGGGAAAGAGAGAGAGAGACTGACTGATTTCCAGTTCACATTTGAATTCCGTAATGCTTTATACCTAGGGTTCCGTTTAGTGTGATCAGGATATCACCTCTTCCCAAAATTGGGCTACTATTTTTCTTTTTTTTTGTATAGCATTATTGCTCATTACTACTGAATAGACAGTCATTTGTCTCTGATACGTGGTTCTCCTTGTGTGTGCGAATAGCAAAGGGCATGCAGGTTCTGTGTTACCCGAGCACTCTGACCATAAAAGCTGAGCAGTGCAATATGAAACTACCCGGAGGTTCAGCTGCTGGGAAGTCTGGACTCTGCCAACTTACAAAGCATTTTGGATCTAAACATTCTTGTGGAGGACCACTTACTTGATTTCCCTGGGACACAACTGCACCTCTGGGTATGTTCAGGTCTGTCTCCTACTTGGGCATCTGTCACAAACAAACGACTTGTGCATTTCAGATAATGCCAGTCCCAAGTTTGACATCGATATGCTGGTTTCGCTTCTGAGGCAAGAAAATGCAAAAGACATTTGTGTGATCAAGGTTCCTCCAGAAATGAGATACACTGATTACTTTGTGATCAGCAGTGGAACTTCCACCCGACACTTACATGCCATGGCCTTCTACATTGTGAAAATGGTAAGATGCTTTCTTTTCTTTTGCACCATTGAGTGGAGTAATTAATGCCAGGTGCCTTAGCCTGTGTGTGTTTTATGTTGTGTTCTTTGATAGAAAAAAGTCTGTTAAAAGCACTATTGAGTCAAGATATTTCTAATTCTTGTCTCTTATGACCAAAAAGAAAAAGAAAAATAATCTGAGACAAGCTAAAAGACAGTGTAAGCCAAAGGGATTTCTAGAACAACACTGTCTAATGTGGTAGCCACAGTCCAGCACATGCTGTTATTGAACAGCCATAAAACATTTCCATTGAGTATAAAATGTTCTGTTGCACAGTGCCAGGCTCGAGTAATTCTGCTTGAGCATGTCCAGTGTTTCCAAGCATCGTGCTTAGTTATCAGCAAGGTAAAAATGATATAGATGACAGTTCTTATCCTCTACATTCATCGCTCTAATAGAGAAAAAGAAAAGCAGTTCCTTTTCCTGATGGACTTAACTTGCATTAGAATGAGGGGAAAAAAACTATATTCAATGCTTTCAGCTATTCTGGCACCATTCTGCAGTTACGGGTGTGCCCATGGCGCTGGCTGAAAGGGTTTTTAACAACAAAAGAAGTCAGGTATGGTGGCACATGCTTGTAATCCCAGCCCTTTGAAGTTCAGGGCCAGTTTGAGCTCCACACAAAGTTCAACATCAGCCTGAACTACAAAGCAAGACCCTGTCTTCAAAAGTAAAACAAAACAAGACAAAACAAAACAAAAATAATTGTGTGCGTGGAGAAGTTGTAAAATAAGATGGGATTTCAGACAGCTCTGGTATAATATAACAGAGCAGAGGAAGATTCCAAAACCATGATTGGAGGAGGCTGGGGATTTAGCTCAGTGGCATAAGTACCTGCCTTGCAAGCAGGTGATCCTGAGTTCGATCCCAGGTACTGATTTAAAAAAAAAGAGATAGACAATTCTTTTTAAGGAAACAAGAGACATCGTTGATAACCATTGTTAATAATCTTGTACTATGTTTTACATCATGTGCTATGTCTATCCTTGGTTTTGACTGACAGCTTTGTTTTGCCATATTTGACTTTATTCTCTCCCCCCCAAAAAAGTAATAAGAACTAAGAAGTAATAAAACCCAAAATGTGTAAATTTTGTTGTAAAAAAGAGAGAGAAAAAAAGAGCTCTAAAGGATACAACAGCAAGTGTGTTTAGGGGTGTTAAATAGCTGACCATATTAATGTTTTTGGTTGGATCATTGAACACAACTGTTTGCAGTCTCACTGTTTGAATGTCCACTTTGTATTCTTTGATACTGTGATTTGAGCAACTATTTCTAAGATGATAATATGTAATCTATTAACTGGTGATTTCTTACTGTCTTTTTTTTTTTTTTTTGTAGTTCTGTATTACGTGTACCCTTACACCGCTTTGTTTTGTTCTGTGTTTTTCTCTTTTTCCTTTTAAATAAAATTAAAAAAAAAAAAAAAAAAAACATGATTGGAGAGATAGGAAAAGAACCAGGATAGCATGGGAGAAGAGTTGTAAAATCAGATATGACAGAGGGATGGAGTAAGATAAAGACCTAGTAGTGATTGTTGGACTTCAGAATATAAAAAGAAAGGAAGTGTTCAAGTTTCAGGAAGAGGACAAATGATGGGCTAAACATTACTTTTAGAGAAGGGAGAGATATGTAAGGTCAATAAATTTTGTTGTTTGTAGTAAAAACGTACATAATGTAGGTCCTGACAAAATGGCAGGGTTTTTTTTTGTACCAGGAATTGAACTCACAACCTTGCACTTGCTAGGCAGGCACTTACACCACTGAGCTATATCCCCAGCCCAGTTCTGCCATTTTAAATCATTTTTAAGTGAATAATTCACTGGTTTTAAGTACATTAATTGCTACCACCGTCCATCTTTGGAACTTTCACCTTGCAACTCTGTACTGAAGCAGTAGCTTCTAGTTCCCCTTCCCCTGCAGCTACCATTCTGCTTTGTGTGAATTTCATACTCTGCTTATCTCTTGTGAAAAGTCTATGGTATTTGCCCTTTTGTGACTGTTTTACTTAGCACCTCTCTTCAAGGTTGGTGGATGCTGTAACATGTGGCAGAGTTTCTTTCTTGAGACTAATAATAACCTACTGTATACTACAGGTTTGTACCATATATACCACAGTTTATCCATCTGTTCATTGATGGACATTTGAGTTGCTTACAACTTTTAGCTGCTTTGTATCTGTTCATGTCCCAGCCTCAAATTTTTTTCTTCTTTCCTTTTTTTTTGGTCTTTTGAGACAGGGTCTGGCTATGCAGTTCAGTGAGCCCGCTGGCCTTGGGCTCACTTTGTAGCCCAGGCTGGTCTTGAACTTGCAAATGATTCTCCTGCCTCAGACTCCCAAGTGCTGGGATTATAGAAGTGTGCCACCATGCCCAGCCTTTCAGCTTCAAATTCTTTTGGGTGTACATAAGAAGTGGAATTGCTAGATCATATGCCAATCGTACCTTTAATTTTTTTGGCCATTGTTTCTCTCATAGTGGCTACACAACTTTAAAATTCCACTAGTAGTGTGGTGGGGGGTACTGGAGATTGAACCCAGGAAAGTACTCAGGCACACTTACAGCAACCTCTACCCCTTTTTAAAATTTTATTTTGAGGCAGTTTCTTGCTAAATTGTTTAGGTTGGGCCATTTTCCTGCCTTAATGTCCCTGGTGATGGATTGTAGGTACTCACCACTGAACCTGTTCTAGTTTTTGATTAATTTTATAATAGCCATACTTACGGGTATAAATTTCCTTGATTTCAGTTTTGCAGTTCCATAATGATTAATGACTAATGATGTTGAGCATGTTTTTGTTTATTGGCCATTCATAGATGTTCTTTGGAGAAAATGTTTGTAGTCATTGGCTTATTTTTGAGCAGGTATGATACTGTTGAGATATAGGAGCTAATTTTTTCTTTTGGTACTGGGATTGAACTCACAACTGTGCACTTGCAAGGCAAGGCGCTTATGCCACTGAGCTAAATCCCAAGCCCCAGGAGCTATTTTTTAAATATGAGTCTTTTATCTTACTCTGTTGGTAGCATCCTTTGATGCACAAAAGTATTTAATTTGAGCCAGGCATGGTGGCCCACACCTGTAATATCAGCACTCAGGGGAGGCCAGGCAGGAGGATGGCTGCAAGTTAAAGGCCAGCCTGAATTTCATAATGAAACCCTGTCTCAAAAAGACAAAAAAGAAAAAGTATTTAATTTGGATGAGTCTAGCTTTGTCTTTTGTTGCCTGTGCCTTTGATAACATGTCCAAGAAAATCGATGCCAAAATCATATCATGAAGCTTTCTTTGTTTTCTTCTCAGATTTTATGGTTTTAGGTTCCATGATTAGGTATTTAATCCATTTCAAATTGCTTTTCATAGGTAGTTTAAAACTGTGTGGATATCCAGCCTCCTTAGCACCCTTTATTGAAAAGATTGTCCTTTCCCTGTTGAATGGTCTTGACATCACTGTTGAAAGTCCTTTAACCATGATTTGTGCAAGTTTATTTCCAGACTCCTTATTCCAATGGGTTATGTATCTTTTTATGACAGAACTATACTGCTTTGGTTACTGTAGTTTTGTACTAAGTTTTGTTGCTGTTTTGCTGGTGAGGAATGAACTGAGAGCCTTGCATATGTTATATACACTCTACCACTGAGCTACACCCCCAGCCCCAGTGTCAGATTTAAAATCAGGAAATGTTACCATTGCTAAATTTTTCCCCAGGATTTTAGCTATTCAAGATCCTTGTGATTCTATGTAAATTTTAGGATGGATTTTTTAAAAAATTCAAGAAATATATTTTGGATTTTGATGGGCATAGAATTGATCTATGGAAGCTGGGAGTGGTGGTGCATGCCTATCGTCCCAGCACTCATGGGCCTAAAGCAGGAAGATTGCTGCGAGTTCTGTTTTTTTTTTTGTTTTGTTTTTTTTGTCTTTTTCGTTTTTATCGGTACCAGGGATCAAACTCACGACTGCCTGCTTGCAAGGCAGGCGCTTATGCCGCTGAGCTAAATCCCCAGCCCCGATTGCTGCGAGTTCAAGGCCAGCTTGAACTACATAGTGAAATTGTCTCAAAAAGACAAAAAAGGGGCTGGGAATTTAGCTCAGCAGCATAAGTGCCTGCCTTTCAAGCAGGCAGTCGTGAGTTCGATCCCTGGTACCGATAAAAAGGAAAAAGACCAAAAAAAAAAACAAATTTAAAAAAGAAAAAAAAAAAAGAATTGATCTATGGGTCGCTTTGGATAGTGTTGACATCCTAACAATATTAAGTCTTTTGATCCACAAATACAGGACATTTTCCCATTTGTTTAGTTTCTTTCAGCAATGCCTTATAGTTCTCAGCATACAAGCCTCAGCCTTCATTTGTAAATATTTTCCTGATGCTGTTGTAAATGGAATTTTCTAAATTCCTCTTTCAGATTTCTTATTAGTGTACAGCAGTTCAACCAACGTTTGCGTATTTTGTATCCTGCAGCTTTCCCAAATGTATTAGTCCTAACCATGCTTTTTGTTGCATATTCTAAGGTTTTCTACATGGGATCATCTTGTCTACAAAGATAATTTTTTTCTCTTGTGTAGCTGCCCCAGCTACATCTTTTCAATGCTGTATTGGCCAGAAGTAGCAAAAATGGGCATCTTGTTTTGGTCCTGATCTCAGGAAAAGCTTTTGAGTGTGCTAAGGGTATGTTGTGTGCCTTTCATACATGGTATTTCTTACATTGAGATAGTTTCTTTTTCACCATAGTTCATTAAGTAATGTTTTTTTCATGAAAGAGTGTTGAATTTAGTGAAATGCATCAGTGACCATGTGGATTTTGTTTATTCTGTTAACATATTACATTGACATATGTAGAAATGTATGCATGCCAGGAATTTCATTTGGTCATGGTGCATAATTGTTATTTTTTCCACCCAGAACTAGGGACTGAACCTAGGACTTGTCATACTAAACAAGCATTCCAGCACCGAGCCAGCCCTTTGTATTTTGAAATAGCCCAGGATGACCTCCAACCTGAACTGTTTTCTTACCTCTGCTTCATAAGTAGGTAGGATATAGATATGAGCCCCAAATGTCTGGCTGTTCTTATATGTTGCCAAGTTTGGTTTGCTGATACTTGGTTGGTTCACCAGCGGTTGATTTGAGTGGGAAAAGCAGTACTTAGGGTTAGGGTTACGACTAAACACAGGGCCTTCGCACTGAGCTATATCCCTGGCCCTTCTAAAATTTTTATTTTTAAATTTAGACACAGGGTCTTGTTAAATTGCCCAGGCTAGGTGTGAACTTGTGACTCTCTTGCCTCAGCTTCCCAGAATAGTAGGATTATAGGCATGTGCTACTACATCTGACTAGTTCTTTTTTCTTGTAGTATGTTTGTCTAGCTTTCCCATCAGTCAGAAGTTGATCTCATAGAACTGGTGAAAATGTTCTCCCCTATTTAATTTTTGTAAGTTTGAGGAAGTAATTTTCCTAATTCATCCATAAACCTTTGACCCAATTTCTGTATTAGGAAATTCCAGTAAGTGTTTCAGTTATCTACTAATTATAGTTCTCTATGGTGGTTTTTTGTTTATTTGATCTCACTATTCAGTTCAGGCGGGCCTTGTGGAGGCTCAGGTTGGCCTCCAACTCAGTGATCCTCTTGCTCCAGCTTCCCAAATGCTGAGATTTAGGTGTGTGCCACCATGCCCAGTCACAGAATTTTTAAAAATTTTTTTATTTCTGATTTTAGGATTTTTGTACTCAATTTAAAGATTTAGCAATTTTATTGAATTTTGTTTTGAAGAACCACATCTTAGTTTCACTGTTTTTTTCCCCCTAGTTTGTTTCCTGTCCTCTGCTAGCTTTTGATGTTTTTTTTCTAGGTCTTTATAGAGTATAAGGTAATTTTCTCCTGTCTTAAATTTCCTACTTAGGTGCTTTTTCTGTTGTGCTCAGAAAATAGTGTAATTTCATTGGCTTGTTTTGTAACCTGTTAAATTATCCTAGAGAACATTGCTTGTACCCTTGATTTTAAGACAGTGTATTCTGCTTTTGTTGGGTAGAGAGCTCTGTTAATGTCTTTTGGGGCTAATTGATCACTATAGTGTTGTGCAAGTCATCCATTTCTCTGATGTGGTGGTGCATGCCTGTAATCCCAGCACTTGGGAGGCTGAAGCAGGAGGATCCCTGTGATTGAGACATACTGAGTTCAAGGCCAGACTGAATTACAGGGCAAGACCCCATCACAAAACTGGGGTGGGGGGAAGGTCATCGTTTTCCTTCCTTCTCTGATTGTTCTGTTAGGGAATGTGGGGTAAAGTCTTACCGTGCTTCTACTGTTTTCCCTTCAGTTGTCAGTGTGCTTTATATACAGAAGGTAGATCTTTGGTGTTACGTATAATTGTTGTCTTGATAAGGTAACTCTTTTGTCCAATGTCTGTTGTCTCTTTTAACAGCTTTTGGCTTAAATTCTGTTTTGTCTGCCATTAGCTTTTGTTGACACCAACAGTTATGCTAAGAACTGAGACCACTCACAGCTGTCTTAGAATAGACACATGGATGAAGTCCCACTAACACGTCTCAAAGCTAGATGAGGTGAAATCAGTAGTACTGAGAAGACCCAGCCTTAAAACAGGAAAGTGTCACCTGCCTTTCCTGAGTGAAGGAAGCTGAATGGGTACAAGGATGAGGTAGCTTGCTACCTGTGCGTAAAAGTTTAGTATGTTGCGGCCTCTGTGTCTCAGAGGCACCTTGGTGATGAGTAGCACGGCCTTCTCAGAATTTGGTCAAGAAGGTTCAGGAGAGAGGAGGGAAAGAATAAGTATTTTCTCCTAACTTATTAACCATGTGGCAAAGTATAGCTATGGGAAATGAGTAACTTAGTTCCTAAATTCAGACCAAGAAAAATGCTACTCGATCTTCAGCAAGGGCGAGCTTCCTCCTGTCTTTAATCTGTGGTTTGGCCTTTTTTCAGTACAAATGCCTGAAATGCAAAAGTGAGCCTCATGTTAAGATTGAAGGCAAGAACACCGATGACTGGCTCTGTGTGGATTTTGGTAAGTTAGTTTGACTCTATATAAATACTGCTACTAAGCTAGATACTTCAGTATTCTCAGGTACAAACAATTCACATAAAATCACCGAGCATTTATATGTAAGATTGTTTGAAATCTGTTTCAAGTAACAAGATTTATTTATAACTTTGGTGGTTTTCATCTCTGAAATCTCACCTAGTACTCTAGGTACAGTAATATAGTTTTGGAGGAAGACACATTTTCTTAAGTCACTTCTGTCACTCTCATCACTGGGACAAAATACTCAACACCTGCAACCTCGAGAAAAGTTTTGCCCACTTTGTAGAAGTTTCAGCCCACAGTTGGCTGGCTGCAGAGCAGTGTGGCAGAGGAATAAACTACAGATGGCAAGCATAGACTCCCAGAGGACAAACCCTGCCAGGGTGGGCCCCCAAGGACCTGCCTCTTAACAGCAAGTAAGCGCTGAGCCCCCATAATCCAGCCACCTGTGAGGACATAAGGCTCTTGGGGGACTTGAGTGCAGGAGAAAGCGGGGAACAGTAACTTGGATTCTGATAGATGACACAAGTTAAGAGACAAAAACAATTTGTTGCTTGCATCTGTAGCCAGCACTACTGATTTTGTGCTATTTTTGACACTGGTTCAAGCCCCAGGTTTCTTAGGGCAGCCCAGGGACTAGAACAGTCTTATAGTTTGCAGGAGGGCCAGGGATATAGCACATTGGCGTAAGCGCCTGCCTGGCAAGTGTGAGGTCGTGAGTTCGATTCCCAGTACCAAAAAAAAGAAAGCAATTTGCAGGACACAGGCCTACTTTTGCTGTTTTAAGAGATACCTAGGCTTAAGTCAAGGGTTTTTCAGCTTTCTCACTACGAATATTTTGAGTTGTGTTTTATAGGATGCTTAATAGTCAGTATCCTCCTAATTGTGACAGGTTCCTCACACACTGCTCATATTGCCTTGACTGAGAATCAGAGCTCTAAGTAGAGCTGCCTTTGTTTTGGAAACAATTATTTTTTTCTGTTCACCAATAAATAGCCTTAAAAAAAACAAAACAACAACAAGAACCACAGTACTTTCTTTGCTCACAAGATTTACAGAAATGTGATGTGCATGGAGCACTTTCTCCTAAGAGAAACCTGAGAGCACTGTCAGTCAGTGGCAGAGTTAACTTTGTCAGTGTTGATGCATGGTGATGCACTGTACCATGTACCCCCGGTACAATGGATGCCAAGAAAAACACAGCATCACTGCTGTGGTAAATTTTGCTGGGATGGGGTCCACAGTTTGCCCTCTGATAATAATTGCTCTAGCTCCTAGAGTTAGGCACAGAGTTGTTAAAACACAAATATAAAGCAAATACATCATTTCTTCATTGTAACTTTTTATCCCTGAATAGGCAGCATGGTGATTCATTTAATGCTTCCAGAAACCAGAGAAACATACGAATTAGAGAAATTATGGACTTTACGCTCTTATGATGACCAGTTATCTCAGATACCGCCTGAGACATTACCTGAAGACTTCATTCTTGGAATAGAAGAAGAGGACACTTCCTTGGTGACTCCAGTGGAGTTCAAATGTGAATAAAAGTAGACAAACTGTTTTAGCCATTTCATTTGGATTCAGTCACTTCTTGGGAAATACAGCTCTCTGAAGCTGAACCTCCTTGGGTTAGGCTGCCAGTAGACTAAGTCTTGCCTACCTCACCTCATTGCCCACTGACTTGCAGATGATACATAAATGAGCTAACATAAGTACTATCCAACCAAAACTTGAACATGCCACCATCTGTTTATCTGTGAGATCCCAGCAGACTTTTCTGGAGCTAATACTGCTTGCTACCTGTGCGTAACTTGAGCTTTCTGCTCAGTTTTATTTATTTTGTTTATACGCAAGTACGTACTACAAATAGTATGGCCACAAATTTTAACAAAATACACCACTGCCTAGTGATTCTATTACTTTGAGGTGACAGAAGGTAATAGTAACTACCGGGATATTTTTCTAGGATAGGACTTCTATTCCCTTCTAACATATTCTGTGACAGGGGCAAAAAGGAAAATTTTGGCATCTACAGTTCTTGGTTCATATGAACAGTATAAGCAAGGTCTGTATTAATGTACCATAGGCCAGAGAAAATAATTTAACAGTAAATAGTCATACAGATTGAGATTGATGTAGTATTATTTGGGGGGGGGCTACAGGGTATAGGGTATCAAAACCTTGTGCTTGCCAAGCAGGCCCCTGTGCTGCTGAGCTAAACCCTGGCCTCTCAAAAATCTGTTTGCAGACCAAATTTGAACACTCACATTCATTTGAAAACATACTACACAACAAGCTGTAACTAATGATGAAAAATTTTATTCTGTATCAGGGTATCTGGAAAATGAAGCTGCACTTGGGGCACTTTATAGATGAGGAATGATCCATTCGTGGTGAGTACAAGACCCAATTACAGAATTATTTCTTAGTACCAGATACTCCAAAAATTACCAATGCTAAAGGAAAAGGAAAACATGATTTGCCACACAAGGATAAAAGTGAAAAATATGGCAGAATTTATACCAGCAGATGTAAATGTAGCACCTACTTGTATTTTTTTAAATCAAGTAATAGAAAAATCAAATTTTGAGGAAGAGCTCTGGCCTTAAGTACATCTCACCTGTAACCCAACAAGAAAGCCAGTCCATGATTTTTTTAGCAATTTAAATTCATTGTATGAAAAAAAAGGTGAATTCAGTGACAAAAAGGGCACTTTTTGGCTAAAACTACAAAATAAACTGGTCTTCTGAAAATATTTAGGAAAATGATTTTCAAAATGTCTAATTGATATTGCTGATATTCAGAAAAACTTGAGTCTGCATGAAACTTAACTAGTCTGTGTAGAAATTCATCTTGAAATACAAATGAGGCAGTATTTTAAAGGGTTATATAATGCCCTTGAGATCAGTGTAATGAGATGACTGTGATCATCTTATGAAGAAAAGGAACAAAACAATTCAGAGAGCAGCGTGGCTTCCAAACCACCCACACAACTGCACAATCCTGGGCTTTGCCATCAAGTTAAGGAATGGTAAATGAGTTCAGTTTCAAAGATCAGGTGTTCTCAGGCATTGAAATTGCATTCCCGTAACATTTTTGTTGAGTCCTCTAACTTCTGACTTACTTTCAGATAACGAGCACAGGGTGTGCTACAATCTATATATTTTAAGCAGACTTAAAAAAAAATCATCCATTTCTTAAAAGTAGGTTAGCAAGGCTTTTGACATTGCCAGGCACAAAGAAATGTAGCCTTTTGTTATTTTAAACTGTCACTGTCCTGTTGTATTATTCACAAATCAATTCTTTTGGAATTTGCTCTTAAAGGTTACTGGCAAACTAAGCATCCTGTAAGACAAGTTGAAGCTTGTTTTTTGCCTGTTTGAAGTCCTATTTTTGCTATCAACACAACTTTCTTCAGGTAGATAGTCAAAGCACAAAGCATTTATGTATTCAATCATATAGTTAATCAAGAAACCTGAAGTCTCCTAAAGCCATTTAAAACTAGGTGTTCCAAAACCTGCCGCCACCACTTTGCTGTTAGCACCACCAAAAACATTCCAACTATAAACAAATAAGTGGCATCGCTGCTCTCCGAATATAGGCACTGCTCTATATCTTTGAACATTTATTGGATTTTCAACTAATAACTGTGTCAGAAGCCTCAAAAAACCTGAAATTTTCTGGCTTTACTGTCACCAGCCAGAAGTAAAATTATTTTTCACTTATTTGCCTGTTAGCTGACAGCTGTTAAGTTTTACATTTATTTTTTAAAAAACAGTTGGACTTTTAGCTTTATAAAGTATATAAAATTTTCAAAAAGAGTTGTTTTTCACTGTATTACTGAATACCTGAGGTAGTTGAGTAAAAATGCACGTTAATACCCCTGCCAACACCATTCAGCACTTCCCTTAGGTTGTGTTAGTGTTAGATTAAAAATAAAAGAACAGGTTTTCTATGCTAATGGCTTAACATCAAAGTTTCTGTGATAATTCTATTCTGATCCAATTTTAACAATTGGATTTAGGAGCAATCTTTTTGATGAATTTAGTGAATGCACCATTCAAGCCGATTTCTGGCACTATGGGGGAATATTAAGAAAAATTAGAATATTCGTTATACTGTGAGACTACAGCAAAGGGAAGTGCAGAGCTCTTTCTCTCCCTCTCCCCTTTTCTTTTCTCTTCTTTTCTTTAAAGCTGGGTGTCAAACATTTCAGAGAGCATAAAGTATACATTCTCACAGAGACAGGAGTTCAAAAGTTGCCTGGTCCTCAGAAACAACTGGCTAGGTAACAACTTGTGCATGTGATTCTGGATGGGGTCAAAGTCCGTCTGTTGGTTAAGCAATCTGTCTTTGGTTTGGCATCTGCCTCTGTGGTGGGCTTTCCTGAGCCTTTACTTCCACCTTGACTGAGGTGGTCCACTTTGCAGAGCCTTCTGCTGTTGGTGCTGCTTTACCTGAGTCAGAATTTCCTGAATTTTTCTCTGGGCAACCTGCAAAAAGACAGAAAAATCTGCCTAATCAGAACTGACTTTATTGTTTTCATTTTAACAACTTCAAAAATCCATCTGAAGATTAGATACATACTGATAATGGCTAGCAATCTCTGAAATCACCTACTAAAAAGCTAGGCACACAGGGGCTGGGGATTTAGCCCAGCAGCATAAGCGCCTGCCTTGCAAACAGGCAGTTGTGAGTTCGATCTCTGGTACCGATAAAAAAGAAAAAGACAAAAAAAAAAAAAAGCTAGGCACACTGGCACATGGCTGTGGTCCCAGGTACATGGGTGGGGGAGAAGGATCAGTCCTTGAGGCCAGGAGTTCTGGGCCAGCCTAAACAGACTGAGACTCTTAATCTCTTACAAATAAAAACCTGTTGAGCATCAAACAATGTTAAATATTTTCATGGATGGTAGACCTGTGTGAGAACTGCTTCCACTTCAGAGATACGCAAAAGAGCTGGCTTATTTTAGTGCCCACTTACCTGGCAAGCATAGAAATGACCAGTTATTTTGACAACCACTTGGTCATTCTCATCAGGTGTCTGGTCACGAGGGACAACAACTTCAGCACTTGACAGATTCTGGAGTTCATTCACCTGAAAGAGAAACACACATCTTGTTAAGTAGCGTTTTAAAACACTACCATTTCTGAAGCACTTACTATGTACCAGACACTGAGCTATGGCTTTGTAAGTTTCATACTGTCACTAATAATTCTGAGCTTAATAACATTGTCCCCATTTTAAGATAATTAGAACTTCAAGACTCAGCCATAAGAAGTTATCTGTCCATTTACACAAGTAAATGGGAAACAGATTCAAATCATGGTAATATGATTTCAAAGTATATGTTTTTAATGATTTTAAAATTTTTAAGTAGCCTTGGAAATGACCTACATATTATGTTAGAAGAAGACTGGAGGCCATTTGCTTTTTTTGAACAAAGTCACGATGAAATTTTAAAATCTTCAGTTCATTCACATTCTTTAGCATTTGTAGAATGAAGAGCTTCAGTTGTAACAACAGAATTGATGCTGAATGATTTACAATGCAAGACATTTCTGTCAGTCATCTGAAAGACATTACTTTCACTAGTAGCTGACACCAGCACTCCAGTATTACTCAGTTTTCTCCAAACCTTGGTCAAGATGGTCTTGCTTTTTTATAAATTAGCCAAAATTCAGAGACTTGAAACTCCTAAGTACCTCCCAGCACTTTCCCTTTCATACCACCGCACGGGTTTTGCTGAAGTACTTGCCGTTTTGCCTCCTTTTCCAATAACCCTGCCAGCAGCAAAGGATGGCACTCTGATATGAGCTTCAAGTTTCACTTCTTCTTTAGGACTAACAAAGTTTTCTTCTTTAATTTTTCCATAAATTCTTCCCTGAGCCTGCAGGCAAAGTACAACCTGTTAGTGCCTTTCATGATTGAAACACAAAAGTTGAACTGAATCTAACTGGAATGTTGAAGATAGCATACAAGATCATAAGAGAAGTTAAGGAGCCCTGGAAAGTGACAATAACTGCATGCACCACATATAAGGCAACAATGAATGATGAAAGAGAAGCCATACTCTTTTATGAAAGCAGCCAAAGGCAACTGCTAGTCTGGCTAAAACACATTTTTTTGTGGGCAAATGGCCATCTATACTCCATGCTTGAAAAATAAAAACTCATCTGGTATAAGAAATAAACTACATTTTTCTTGAGCAAAAGAGACTGAGAAAAAGACACTGTGGTACATGGCTATAACCCCAGCTATCCAGGCTGAGGCAAGAGCTACCAGGCTGAGTGCACCACTTGCCTGGGCAGCACAGCCAGATTCAAAAAAAAAAAAAAGGTACTCATATCCTAATATTTAAAAACAAAACAAAAAAACCTGGGAAAGAACTACACAGCCAGCTGTGCCACACTCACAAAGAGAAATGCTCCTGTCTTAATGACCAGATAGAAACCTGGTGAGAGGAATATTCTGTGTAAACATGTTACTACTTAGCCAGGCGATTTCTGCTAAGAAGCTCCAAACTCAAGTTAACACTTACACGTAGCACCTTCTGTTAGGTACACTCGTTAACTTGCTGTGGTTGCACCATAGGAAATAGAACTTGATCTAATCTGACTAGACCAATCTGACTGGAACAATGCACAAAAACACTGTTGGTGTAGAAATGCTAAGCTCGTTGTAGAGGATTAAAGACAAAATTTTATCTGTACTGTATTCCATCCAACCTTAATGTCTCAGCCAACATGGTCAAAGAACTCCAGGAATGTTCAATGTTGTCTAAAACATAAGCTCTTAAAATTTGTGAGAGAAAACATAGGATAGGAGGTTAACTATTCCTTAGGTTACTAACATAAAGTACTCATTTTGAATAGTCACTGATCACGTGAGTGACTTAAACATTATGGCTTCTCTAAGTGTTAATCTTTTTTTCTTTTTCTTTTTTTTTTTTTTGCTTTTGAGAGAGGATTTCAACTACACAGAGTTCAGGCTAGTCTTGAACTTAGCGTGATCCTTCTATCTCCACATCCCAAGTGCTGGGATTAACAGGTGTGCTCCACCAGGCTTGCTCTTGAGTATTAGTTGTAAGATGACTGTAATATTACCATTTGAGGAAACATGGAAATAACTGAATCTCTTACCATACAAGCATATAATAATTGCAAGACAGTAATTCCAACTATAAATAAAAGCACTAAAGAGAAACATGCAATAATTGATGTTTGGTTATGGTTCTACTTAATCTTAGACATGAATTTTCAGATTCTGTCTACTGTATATAAGTGAATATATGTATGTATATACACACATACACATACCTGTTCTGCAAAAGCACTGTCATTCACCCCATCATTTGCTACCTGTGCACATACCTTAAACTGCGCCTCTGGTGGTCCAGTAATGATCACCATCCTCACTTTAGCATCTGGTGCTTCAGCTGGAGCAATCTGTAACAGACCATCAGCAACAAGTTGTTAAACTTATTGGTGTCACTGATAGAAACCTTAGGCCAACCAATGTGACACCTGCACATAACTGACTGAAATGCAGCCTGGCGTAGTAGCCCAGTCTTTGATCAGACAGTAACTAAGGCAGAGGGGGCAGCTGCTGTTTGGGTTGCCTGGGGTTTGAATCACTACACTAGCAGCACTCAAGTGTGCTCCGCAGCCTATCTGCATCTCATCTAAGCCTTACCCTGTGTTGAGACTACTGCATTCTATGACTTTTTCTGTCAGAGGAAAGGGCACTGCTTTTTAAAAATAATGTCTGAGCTCCTTTCACATCATTTACAAAGAAAACTTGATTTACATACATTGTCAGATTTATAAATCACACACACATACAAAGACAGCAGGCAGAAACCAGCCTTCTCACGTCACAGGAAAGATTTAGGGATGACTCCCAACCAGGGAGTTGTCAATCACCATAAAAGAAAAACTTACTAAACAGTTGCTGTGAAAAAAACAAAATAATCCTTACTATGTGAAACAAAATTTTTAAAAAGCATGGTTATTTATGAGAAAAAAAAGCAAAAATACAAGTTACCCTAAGTTTTGCCACTAAGGATTACTTTGTTCCCTAGACCTTTTCCCATGTGTGTTTAATATTAATGTCTTTTTAATGAAGTCATGTTTCCTGTCTCCATCAACAAAGCTAACATTTCTGTCCCCTAGAGCGAAGTTCCTTTATGAAGTGTACGGACTTGTTTTGAGTTTAGTAAAAGCTCGAGATTATTCACAAGAAATCACTATTAATCGGCCAGGGATATAGGTGAGTGGCATAAGCACCTGCCTGGCAGGTGCAAGGTCCTGAGTTTGGTTCCTGGGTACCCACCAAAAAAAAAGAAAGAAAAGAAAAGAAATCATCGCTTAAAAAAAAGTATCGTTGTTCAAGTTTCAAACAATGGAATTTTTGAGTTTTTCCAATTTTTTTGTATGTAGTGTTGAAGATTGAACTCAAGGCCTCATGCAAACTAGACAAGTGCTTTGCCACATAGCTACATTGCTCACTCACTGTGTGTTTTGTTTTGTAAATATCTGTCAGTACTGGTGACAAGAGCTGGGGCGAACGGAACTCATGCACTGAAGTTAGGAATATAAATTGCTGTATATAATCTCTCAAACCTGAAAAAAGCACATGCCCTTTAATCCAGTGTCTACTTCTATAAGTCTGAAGTTGGTTATCTCATTTTACTTATCATCGGATTGCTTGTACAGGGTAAAATTAGGAATGTAAATATCATGGCCTGGTGACCACATGTATGCCTAATAATGTCTATGTTTTGAGATGTACCCATATGTAAATTTATACTAAGTATTAACAGTTGTGGTCATCCTTGCAGATTACATATTTCAGACTTTATGGAAACATTTTTCAACCTCACCTGGAAATGTTCATAGCTGGATGTGGTGATACATGCTAGTAATCCTGACACTCTGGGAGGCTAAAGCTGGAGGATCCCAAGTTCAAACCCAGTGTGTATAACTTAGAGACCCTATCTCAAAATCTCAAAGTGCTAAGGATTTAGCTCAGTGTGAAGGCAATGGGTCTGATCTCTAGAGCGGGAGACATCAGGGGTTGACACCAGGAACTGGCAGAAGGACTTCAACAGAAAAATAAATGAGCTTTTAATAATAACCAATTCCTATTTAAGAACTGTTGCTCAGTTATTTTCCAAAATGGATCTACCAGGTTTGTGTTTGAGCACATCTCACAGATTGTATTTTGTGTGTGTGGTACAGGCTGAGCTCAAATTTTTAGTCCTGTTGCCTCAACCTCCCAATGTTGGGACTGTAGGCCTGTACCTCCTCTCCTAGCCTCAAAGGTGTTTGTTTGCTTCTTTGAACTTAATCATGAAGTAGTACAATAGTAAAGTCAGGTCTTCACTTGATCTTTTACTGTGTCTTTTCACTTTACCCACTTTGGCTAGGTTTCCTGGTCCTGGATTTCATTACCTTTTACTGCAAGGATGTATGTAAGGACTCTTTTTCTGTTTTGACTTCTAATTATTTAATTTTCATACTGTAAGTCATTTTTGGTGTCTAGGTCTAGGAAGATAAATGCATACTCATGTTGTTACCTCAATATTAAAATACAGATTGGTTCCATCACCTACCAGTTATTCGTTCTCCTCTTGAAGCTGTGTTTTCACTCCCTCCTCCTTCCTTTCCTAGCAACCACCAACTCTCCCTATAGCCTGCCTTTTCTAGAATTATTAGTCACACAGTGTATGGCCTTCTTCCTCTCAGCGCTATGAATGGTTCCTTTATAGTGCTCAGTAATATTGTGTAGATAGGTAGATCATACTTTATCCATTCACCATTTGAATGGTTTATTTGTGGAGTTACAATAAAGACTTCATAGAAGTGTACGGGTGTGTATGTGTGTGTGTTCTGCATGTTCATCTATGTTTTGGGTCAGTATTCAGGAGCAGATTTATGGGTTATATGATATATATACTCGTTAAATCAGTCTTTTTAAAAGGTTTATAAAACATTATCAAAACTTCTGATAGCTTTCTCATATTGAGCCTGTCAGTCTGTTTCCCTAAAACAAAACAATCATGTTTAATAATACCCCAGCACATCAAAATACAAAATGTTCAGAATACACAATGATCTCTTACACCAGATACTATTGGTTGTCCTCTGCTGTGTAGTAAGGCACAAAATGTTTACCAAGCTAAATAGACTAGATTTCTCTGCCTCTTCAGCTCTGTCCAGTTTTGGCCAATGTCTTAATATTGAGATATACGTAGATGTTTCTCAAAGCAGCTAAGGAAATTTCCCCAGGTGTAAAATGGCTAGTTTTCTCCTACTGATTGACAACAGATTAAATCTCAGAGCACTGAATGGTACTATCTGGAACCATGAAGGGTCCAAGGCCTTCACAGGGCAGAGCCACCAACCATCCCTGGACTGCTTACCTCCAAACTGATTTTCCTGGGAAGAGAAGTTAATTCGCTTCGTTTAAGCCACTGTTGTTTGGGATATTTTCTGTTACAAAGTGGAAAGAAGATTCGTCTGTGATTTCATTAAAGAACCAGGAGAGCCACAGTTGGCAGAACAGTACCTTAATTGAAGCTCCTGCAAAGCGAGAAAGCTGTTTGATGTGCTGGCCCTGCTTGCCGATAATGGCGCCGACTGATAGGGCCGGGATGAACAGATGCACAGTCTCCGTTTCTGATTGCTGTCAGAAAAAAAAGCCAGGACATGCGTACTTATGTGCTACAAATTATGCGTTTTAACCTTTTTACAGCATTGGCTTTGGAATGAGCACATTCTTAAAAGAATACCAGAAAAGGAAATCTACCACATTAATGAGAGTTTAACACTGAATGTGTGTATCACTCTGAAAGCATTTGTATTTAAAATTTCACTTTACAGGGGGCTGGGGATTTAACTCAGCGGCATAAGCGCTGGCCTTGCAAGCAGGCAGTTACCAGTTCGATCCCCGATACCGATAAAAAGGAAAAAAAGACAAAAAAAAATTCGCTTTACATATTATTAAAAGCTTAAAATGTCACTAAGTTACGGGGTTAAAAGATGGGTAGACATTACACCAACTCATAAGCTTTCCTTCTTATATACAGTGAACTGTTCTGTAAGAGAAAAGCCCCCCAATCACCATATATGACTATGTCATGTGCAAACTTAACACTCATTTCATACACAAGCACAAGCAGGATTAGAAGACAATGATTTTCATAGTAAAATACCATAACATACTTTCCCATATCGTCTGGCTTCTCTTAGCATTTCTTCTTTTTTTCCTCTTTAGCATCTTGCATACACATCGAAAACCATTTTAAAGCTAACTCCAAAATGGGTACGCATGGATTTGATCTCTATACCTCATTCCTTCACCACCTCAAACCATCGGTGCCCTCCCCATGCTCCTTGCACATTCTGGCCGGGCTGAAGAGCACGCAGCACTCAAGAGCTCAACAAGTGGATCTATCATTGTGTCAGCGGAAGGTTTACTAACACATGAGCCCCAAGTTCCAAAATGCAGGAACACTACTCAGATACATCCAGTTGATGCTTTGTTCACCATCTAACAGTTAGCAGTTCCAAGGATAAGTTAATTCTTTATGAAATGTATTACTAGAATATCTGTAACAAGCCACTAAAAGTACAGTATGCACTTGTTTAAAAAAAAGTACATACCTAATAAGCTTAACATTTCTAGAGGTACTAGAAGATGTTCATGGTAAGAAATGTATAGATAAATGATGAGGTGAACACTTCAGAGTTCTCTCTTGAATCTTAACTCTTTTCTACTATTGGGAATTCAGTTTCTAGGTACTCCTAATACTGTAATATGTACCCACAATTACAAATAGCTGTAAAACAGCTATGTCTTAACCTAATAACCACTTCTTAAACAAAAGTATCCCAACAGTTTTACTTTCAATTTCTTAAACCAGGGGAATGCTTACAATTTTGATTATTTTAGACATTTTTTTGTCTATGCCACAACAGCAACACAGGGTTCTCACATTTTTACTAGCTGTACAACGAACTATCACTATTGTTACCATGACACCATGACTTTTTCTACCAAAACATACAGTCCTGAGTTCAATACCCTATCAACCCCCATCTCTGAATTTTACTAGTGGCAATCAGCCCCAAGGAAGGGCACAGAATTGGCACAGGCACCACAAATGCATGAATATCCTGACAGTCACCAACACAGCCCACAGTTTGATCTATAATGATTCTATTTATCCCTCAGTGTAGACTTAGCATAGGGCACACTGCACCGGCTGGTGTATTCCTCTTCTTGGTAAGAATTTTAAATATGCTAATTTTAATCTAAGTTTTGTTCTCTAGACCTATGACATCTATGGGTTTAAAAACAAAAAAAAATCACATTTTAAAACTTCTAGACCAGATCCCTGCTGCTCTTCAAAAAAATTAGTCAACACTCTAGAAACAAAAGTGTTAGTTCTTTGACTGTAAAAAGTAACTTTTGCCTATTTACCAATAAAATGGAAACAATAAATGGAAAATAACACCTAGACAAGGTAAAAGTTAAAGTATATTTACAAATACAAAGATGTCAACAACAGTATGTAGAAATTATAAATCAGAAAAACTTACAGTCATCAAGTAATTTAGAACTATAATCAACTAGTCACCTAAAAAAAGTACCAAGCACACACAGTTTTACTAATTTTTTCTAGCCCAATGATCAGGAAGAACCTTAGAAAATGCCAGTGAATATATGGACCTAGGAACTAGAAATGACCAGCTATTTTCCCTGGTGGAAAAGGTATTAGAACTCTGTGGAAACACAGACGTAGTGCAAGTAACATTCCAATTTGCTTTTTTCCCTGAATACACCTTGGCTATCTTTCCACGCCATTCACATGGCCCTACCTCATACTACTGACAGATACAAATCTAATTTATCTCATCCCCACAGTATATTTTCATCTAAGTCATATAATGCCTCAACTGAACCACTGTACACAAATCTTTGTGCCCTTTTTCAAACATGTCTATGGTACATATTCTTGCAAGTAGAACAGCAGGCAACAGAGACCAGCAGAGTTGATTTTAAATCAACAGACTTTAACACAAAGTATTGTCCAGCTTAGTCCACAGATAACTGAATACAGAGTAGTGGCAGGCAAAAACCCACTACTTACTAGGTATATGGAACAATAAAATACCAGGTTTCAGAGGAAAACAAGTCTGAGGGAGTGGGGTATATGGTATCTGTAGCGGGTCCATTTGCATTTCCTTGGTGCCAGGTACTGTGTGCACATGACCTCACTGACACAACCGATGATAAACTATCAAGGTGTTCATCTTAAAAGATGAGAAAGTCTTTTGCCCATTGAGAGGTGGTAGAGCTAGGAGGCAAACTTGGTTCATCTCCTAAGCCATGAACACACATTTAAGTGTCCTTATTTTAATATGTATGGTGTGCTTTTTTGAAACACCAAGCACAGTAGAAAATGTAAGCCCTAAAGAAAAATGGCTGACAACTCATCTGGGCTGGGCTGTTTCTCCTCCCCCACCACCCTTCCCTCCACTAGCCTTAGCAGGACTTCCGAGTCAAAAGAAATTCCTTACGTAGACAGTTATCAAAAGTCAACAACACACTAAAAAGGCGTACAGTCTAAAACAGTTTTTAAGAATAAGGATGACTAAATTTTAAGGAACTCAAAGCAGGTTTTCTATCTCAGCTGCACACATCTTGCATGTCTAAGGTACAGTGACTTCAAACTCAAATTTTAATTCCTTTGCCTCACAGCTGATTGCTATTTATCAGAAAGTGCTTTATTATAAAGACCTTCAACAAAATCAGCTTCCAGTTTGTCACTAATTCATAAGAGAAAGTGATCAGATCTTTAAAATATCCATCTTTATGCCCGTATAAAATACTTCTGAGAATTTATGTAAAGAATTGCTAGGGTAGTTGAAAATTGACATTTCCAGATTATGTCTTATGATCAATTAACTTATTTAAAAATAAGCAAAACGTGCTTTTAGTATAAACCATGTCTTTCACTTTCATGAAGAAGAAAGCAAGATATGATTCTGGACTCCCGCCTACTCTTCCACACACAAAAATCATTGACATTTTCTAATAAGTCTCTTCAGTTATCGGCATCTTCCATCGCTGTCTTTGTTGCTGTCTAGGCTGCCCTGATATCCTGAACTGACTCAAACTTTTTACTTTCCACTGAGTTTTGGAAGAGTTAAAAGTGACACAATGGGGCTGGGGATTTAGCTCAGTGGCGTAAGTGCCTGCTTGGCAAGTGCAAGGTCATGAGTTTGATTCCCGGCACCAAAAGAAAAAAAAAAAAAGTCATGCAATGCCAAATCCAGCGAGGAAGGCAGATGAGGACAGGAGGAATGTGTTTTACAAGGCTGTCTTTCTGTTGGATGGCACTTGGTACCAGCATTCTCTGTAGTTTTGGCCACACCCCATACAGACCTCATATTAAAGAGGACTTCCAGAGGGAGTCATTTGAAGGAAATTAATGGCAAGGTTTTACTATAACATTTAAACATTCAACGTATTTTAGTGACATTTTATATATGCATGTAAGAGGTAACCCAAAATTCAGTGTCAGGAAGTATTTCTGAGTTGTTTCTGATCACTAGATTTTGCGCTTTTTTAACACAGGTGTCATTAGGTGTGGTACAGCCAAGTTAATGTTCTTTACAACTTACAAGCACTGGAGATTGAATCCAGGACCTCATACTAAGCTATATTCCCAGACTCATCTACTTTTCATTTTGAGACAGGGTTTTGGTAGGCTGGGCTCAAGCTTGAATCTTTTGCTTCAGTCACCCTAGAAGCCGAGGGACAGTTGTGTACTACTGCACCTGGCCAAATGTTTTAAACACACATACACATTTTGTGTGCTGGAAAAGTCCTTTTTAATGTTCAGACAAAATTTAATGTGTAATTAGCCCTGAACTGCTCGCAGTACATCATGACTGTGCAATTATTCCTTAGGGCTCATTCCAAAAAAATTTTTAATGCTTACAAAATACACACAATCTAAAAGGATAAAATAATGGATAGTGAAGAAATAATAGCATAGGAACCTGCACAGTAAGGACAATATGAAGCCAAAAATAGTATTATTACAAATTTGGCTTCACGCTTTCTAGCTGCCCAAAACACAAAAACATCAGTAGCATAATTTACCATGCACATAGAGGACAAAGTATTCACTTGCTCTGTGAAAAGTTTTTTCCCAGGTATAAATTCCAGAGAGCGATTTCTAAATCTTCTCAACATTAATTTACCAGGCAGCATCCGCAATTCTCAGAGCTCCAGCATCCCAAAAGCATAGCCTTAGCAGGTGTCTTAACCTTGAAGACTTCAGACAGTTGCTGTGAGAAAGCTCAGGCACAAACTCAGTGGCAGCCTCAAAAGCTGAACAAAATAATCTTGCTGACATAGTGATAAAAGGCTACCATATTTTTGTTTGATTTAGGGGTGGATGAGAAGTACAAATCCACGATGAAAAGCAATTTATGAAAGCCAGGTGTGGTGTTGCACACCTGTAATCCAAGCTATTCAAGAAGCCAAATGCAGGAGGATCACAAGTTCAAGCCTAGCCCATGCAGCTTCTTGAGACCCTGTCTTGATAGAGGAACACAAGAATGCAGCTCAGTGTTCCACGGGTTCAACCCCTATGGGGGTGGCAGAGC